TACGAATTCTCTGCATTATAATCACACCACACATTGCCCTCAGACATGGCATCTCCACTGCCTCCAGCCTTCTCCTCGCTGCAACATTCATTACCCATGCCTCACACCCAAAATAAGAGCGTTGGTAAAACTATACTCTCATACATTCCCCTCTTTGCCTCTAAGGACAAAGTTCTTTGTCTCCACAGACTCCTAAGTGCACCACTCATTCTTTTCCCCTCATCAATTCTATGATTCACCTCATCTTTCATAGACCCATCCGCTGACACGTCCACTCCCAAATATCTGAATACATTCACCTCCTCCATACTCTCTCCCTCCAATCTGATATTCAATCTTTCATCACCTAATCTTTTTGTTATCCTCATAACCTTACTCTTTCCTGTAATTCACCTTTAATTTTCTTCTTTTGCACACCCTACCAAATTCATCCACAATCTCTGCAACTTCTCTTCAGAATCTCCCAAGAGCACAGTGTCATCAGCAAAGAGCAGCTGTGACAACTCCCACTTTGTGTGTGATTCTTTATCTTTTTAACTCCCCGCCTCTTGCCAAGACCCTCGCATTTACTTCTCTTACAACCCCATCTATAAATATATTAAACAACCACGGTGACATCACACATCCTTGTCTAAGGCCTACTTTACTGGGAAAAAATTTCCCTCTTTCCTACATACTCTAACTTGAGCCTCACTATCCTCGTAAAAACTCTTCACTTCTTTCAGTAACCTACCTCCTACACCATACACTTGCAACATCTGCCACATTGCCCCCCTATCCACCCTGTCATACGCCTTTTCCAAATCCATAAATGCCACAAAGACCTCTTTAGCCTTATCTAAATACTGTTCACTTTATGTTTCACTGTAAACACCTGGTCCACACACCCCTTACCTTTCCTAAAGCCTCCTTGTTCATCTGCTATCCTATTCTCCGTCTTACTCTTAATTCTTTCAATAATAACTCTACCATACACTTTACCAGGTATACTCAGCAGACTTATCCCGCTATAATTTTTGCACTCTCTTTTATCCCCTTTGCCTTTATACAAAGGAACTATGCATGCTCTCTGCCATTCCCAGGTACCTTACCCTCTTCCATACATTTATTAAATAATTGCACCAACCACTCCAAAACTATATCCCCACCTGCTTTTAACATTTCTATCTTTATCCCATCAATCCCGGCTGCCTTACCCCCTTTCATTTTACCTACTGCCTCACGAACTTTCCCCACACTCACAACTGGCTCTTCCTCACTCCTACAAGATGTTATTCCTCCTTGTCCTATACACGAAATCACAGCTTCCCTATCTTCATCAACATTTAACAATTCCTCAAAATATTCCCTCCATCTTCCCCCAATACCTCTAACTCTCCATTTAATAACTCTCCTCTCCTATTTTAACTGACAAATCCATTTGTTCTCTAGGCTTTCTTAACTTGTTAATCTCACTCCAAAACTTTTTCTTATTTTCAACAAAATTTGTTGATAACATCTCACCCACTCTCTCATTTGCTCTCTTTTTACATTGCTTCACCACTCTCTTAACCTCTCTCTTTTTCTCCATATACTCTTCCCTCCTTGCATCACTTCTACTTTGTAAAAACTTCTCATATGCTAACTTTTTCTCCCTTACTACTCTCTTTACATTATCATTCCACCAATCGCTCCTCTTCCCTCCCGCACCCACTTTCCTGTAACCACAAACTTCTGCTGAACACTCTAACACTACATTTTTAAACCTACCCCATACCTCTTCGACCCCATTGCCTATGCTCTCATTAGCCCATCTATCCTCCAATAGCTGTTTATATCTTACCCTAACTGCCTCCTCTTTTAGTTTATAAATCTCTCACCTCTCTCTTCCCTGATACTTCTATTCTCCTTGTATCCCATCTACCTTTTACTCTCAGTGTAGCTACAACTAGAAAGTGATCTGATATATCTGTGGCCCCTCTATAAACATGTACATCCTGAAGTCTACTCAACAGTCTTTTATCTACCAATACATAATCCAACAAACTACTGTCATTTCGCCCTACATCATATCTTGTATACTTATTTATCCTCTTTTTCTTAAAATATGTATTACCTATAACTAAACCCTTTCTATACAAAGTTCAATCAAAGGGCTCTCATTATCATTTACACCTGGCACCCCAAACTTACCTACCACACCCTCTCTAAAAGTTTCTCCTACTTTAGCATTCAGGTCCCCTACCACAATTACTCTCTCACTTGGTTCAAAGGCTCCTATACATTCACTTAACATCTCCCAAAATCTCTCTCTCTCCTCTGCATTCCTCTCTTCTCCAGGTGCATACACGCTTATTATGACCCACTTCTCGCATCCAACCTTTACTTTAATCCACATAATTCTTGAATTTACACATTCATATTCTCTTTTCTCCTTCCATAACTGATCATTCAACATTACTGCTACCCCTTCCTTTGCTCTAACTCTCTCAGATACTCCAGATTTAATCCCATTTATTTCCCCCCACTGAAACTCCCCTCTCCCCTTCAGCTTTGTTTCGCTTAGGGCCAGGACATCCAACTTTTTTCATTCATAACATCAGCAATCATCTGTTTCTTGTCATCCGCACTACATCCACGCACATTTAAGCATCCCAGTTTTATAAAGTTTTTCTTCTTCTCTTTTTTAGTAAATGTGTACAGGAGAAGGGTTACTAGCCCATTGTTCCCGGCATTTTAGTCGCCTCATACGACACGCATGGCTTACGGAGGAAAGATTCTTTTCCACTTCCCCATGGACCAATAGAAGAAATAAAGAAGAACAAGAGCTATTTAGAAAAAGGAGAAAAACCTAGATGTATGTATATATATATGCATGTGCGTGTCTGTGAAGTGTGACCAAAGTGTAAGTAGGAGTAGCAAGATATCCCTGTTATCTAGCGTGTTTATGAGACAGAAAAAGAAAACAGCAATCCTACCATCATGCAAAACAGTTACAGGTTTCTGTTTCACAGTCATCTGGCAGGACGGTAGTACTTCCCTGGGTGGTTGCTGTCTACCAACTACTACCATATATATATATATATATATATATATATATATATATATAATATATATATATATATATATATATATATATATATATATATAATATTATTTCATGGATGAAAGAGGTAAATATGTTTAGAAATTTGTGGTTATTGTTTGTAGTATAGAGAACTAAATTCTCAAGTCAAGCTCCAGGAGGAAGATTGCAATGTTTTTGTATTAAACTCATATGAGTCATGTGGTATCTGAGAAATGGTATGTAGACAGGTTTGATCCGAGAAAGGGAAAGGCAGCTTCAGATCCTGGGATCAAGAGCCCCTCACTTGCCTGGAAGCACCTTGGTTATGGCAGTTCATCATGGTCTCACAGACAACATTGTCTTCACCTCACCACCAACGTCTAAGAAACTGTTCAACTTGATTTACGAAGATATCTTCGTTTAGTAATTATTTTACTTATCCTCATTCTTTTCCAAAGCTACTCTCCCTACAAGGCCAGAAGCGTCTCCGAGCAGTGATCCTTCCAGCGTGTTGGTGTGTGGGGTGTTGGTGTGGGGTGTTGGTGTGTGGGTGTTGGTGTGGGGTGTTGGTGTGTGGGGTGTTGGTGTGGGGTGTTGGTGTGTGGGGTGTTGGTGTGTGGGTGTTGGTGTGTGGGGTGTTGGTGTGTGGGGTGTTGATGTGTGGGGTGTTGATGTGTGGGGTGTTGAGTGTGGGTGTTGGTGTGTGGGTGTTGGTGTGTGGGTGTTGGTGTGTGGGGTGTTGGTGTGTGGGGTGTTGATGTGTGGGGTGTTGATGTGTGGGTGTTGGTGTGTGGGTGTTGGTGTGTGGGGTGTTGGTGTGTGGGGTGTTGATGTGTGGGGTGTTGATGTGTGGGGTGTTGGTGTGTGGGTGTTGATGTGTGGGGTGTTGGTGTGTGGGTGTTGGTGTGTGGGGTGTTGGTGTGTGGGTGTTGGTGTGTGGGGTGTTGGTGTGTGGGTGTTGATGTGTGGGGTGTTGGTGTGTGGGTGTTGGTGTGTGGGGTGTTGATGTGTGGGGTGTTGGTGTGTGGGGTGTTGGTGTGTGGGGTGTTGATGTGTGGGGTGTTGGTGTGTGGGTGTTGATGTGTGGGGTGTTGGTGTGTGGGTGTTGGTGTGTGGGGTGTTGGTGTGTGGGTGTTGGTGTGTGGGGTGTTGGTGTGTGTGGGTGTTGGTGTGTGGGGTGTTGGTGTGTGGGGTGTTGATGTGTGGGGTGTTGGTGTGTGGGTGTTGGTGTGTGGGGTGTTGGTGTGTGGGGTGTTGGTGTGCAGGGTGTTGACGTGAGGGGTGTTGACGTGAGGGGTGTTGACGTGAGGGGTGTTGACGTGAGGGGTGTTGACGTGAGGGGTGTTGACGTGAGGGGTGTTGACGTGAGGGGTGTTGACGTGAGGGGTGTTGACGTGAGGGGTGTTACTCAAAAGGGAACACTTGCTCCAACATATCTTCGGTGTCTCACCTGGTCTCTTGCTCACAAAATTGTATTGACAACAGTTTACTTCAATTTTTTTTATCCAGTTTGCTCAAGAAAAAACTACTTGTTACGACCAATATATTGAACACTCCAACAAGTGGAAAAGTAGAAAGTGGCATTATAATTAACACCTATTATTGATGATAGTACTGAATAATGAGAGATCAATGTAGGTACTCACCTGTTGGTTGCAGGGTTTGATTCACAGCTCCTCGCCCCTGCACCAGTTTGACATTTCTCTTAAAACACGGACACACGGCGAAGGAGCTGTGAATCGACCCCTTTAACGACATATAGGTAAGTACTCTGTCTCTCTCTCTCACACACACACACATACATATATACCCTCTGTGACAACGCGTTAATATAAGCCAAGCTTCTGATAGGATTATCCTTACTAATAGGATCATCCTTCATTACTTGTAACTAGAGCAGGATAGAGCAGCCAGCAGCTAACACTAACTAACTCGCTGCTGTTTCCTTACGCAGACTATTCTCTGTGAAGTGCGCCGGGTGTGGTGACCGCCTCCTGCCTCACGAACTGGTCATGCGAGCACAGTCTCTGGTCTTTCATCTGCACTGTTTTGCCTGTGTGGTGTGCTGTCAAGTGCTGCAGAAGGGTGACCAGTACGTGCTGCGGGGCCACCAGCTCTTCTGCAGAGCAGACTACGAGAAGGAGATGTTTCTCCTGCAGCAGCACGGGCCGCAGAGTGAGTGGCTGAGTTAGTATTACCTAGTAGTTTTGTTTACTTTCTTATTGACACGTAACCTTCCGCTCTGTACCACGACCCACCTTTTAATATCTCTCATCACCACGTAACCTTCCACCTTGTACCACGACCCACCTAATATTTCTCATCACCACGTAACCTTCCACCTTGTACCACGACCCACCTTCTAAACTCTCATCATGATGAAGTATTTTGAACAATAATTAGCTTTTAAAACCGTTGACAGTGTTATACCGTTGACAGTGTTATACCGTTGACAGTGTTATACCGTTGACAGTGTTATACCGTTGACAGTGTTATACCGTTGACAGTGTTATACCGTCATTGTAACAACAATGAAGTCATTATCTCTAGCTCATAGCTAATACCAACAGGCTGGTGCATGACTCAGGAGCATTACATAGGTGATAGGTATCTGCACTATGAAGCGTTTCGCCCATCAGGGGCTTTATCAGTCTAATATACAGACATGAGAACAGAACTTTATATGCCTGAGTAACTTCAACTAGTGGGCCCCATCCACATGTGCCCTCGCTCACTGCTGCTGCATCGCTCCAATTCTTTCACTAGCTCCTCAACAATGGGTTCCATTCTTATATTTAGGTATTAAGCTACTAAAACCCACTGGTGGGCGAAACGTTTCTCACTATGTGTATGTGTGTGTGTTCGATCCTCAGTCAACAGAGAATAATATTAGTGAGACTTCTGGACCAAGCGCCCAGGTCCTGACAGAAACCCATACAACTAGTTGCGCGTCTGTAGGGCCCACTGAGTATGTCACTTCCTAAGGACATAATATATGTGGTTCATGAATTCTTGTACAGAAGTCGCTTAGAATGCCAGCCTTCACCTCAGCATTCGTTCATTCATTTCCCGGGATCCCCGACATGGCTCGGCCACGAACAGAATTTCTCGCTCTTTAGCTGGGCGTGGAGATAAATAATTCCCGTAATATCTGGCAACCTTCCGTTCATCTCAGGCTCTCATCATTTCGTCTTCACAATTCAATTTTCTACTAAACAATAAAGGCAGATGATCAAGCATCATGAGATAATTCATCTTAGTTCATGACAATGATGTAACACAACCTTGTTTCTTCAGACAAGTGTATCCTCGACCCGAGTATACTGTATATACTCAGAGGTACATTTATCTTAATACAGTATATACAGTTTTCTTTAATACATGTCTTAGAGATTGAAGTATTCTTAACTGATGGTGAACAGGTGATGAGCAGTCTTGATGACCATTACGTTAACGACTGCCTACGATCGAATGGGTTATTAGATTTGAAGACTATCGTACTAGGGTGATTAAGGGTGCATGTCACTTATGCACCTTCAGGCAAGGATATTTTAATCTCTAATACGAGAACTGAAGTAAAATTTACTTATACAAATAATAAGATATATATCCTTCGGTGTAAACAGACTGCTACGCTACGTGCATACATTCATTAGTATATATACAAAGAGAAAGGCTTTAAACATAATATATCAAGTATAACAGTCTTCCTGTGTGGTGTTTACAGGTCCTCTGGGCGACGACTTTATAGTGGACGACGGATCAAGACCTAGAGACGGTAGACGGGGTCCTAAAAGACCCAGAACAATACTGACGTCGGCGCAGAGGAAGCAGTTCATGGCCTCCTTTAGTGTGTCTCCCAAGCCTTGCAGAAAGGTGGGTTCAACAACATAACAGTAGATCAACATCCCCAATAACCAGACCAGGAGACAGGCAGTATTAAGGGGCACGTAAGTACCTCTGTCTTCTGATAATATGCTTATTTGTCCACTATAGTCTACCTTGTCCATAATTACTGTGTCGCATGTGTCTGTTTCGTCAGGTGAAGTCTAGGATCATTCCTTAATTCATGGTATAATTTAACAAATCTTTGAGGACAGTTGTGCTGTAGAGGTCAGACTCCTCTTATAAGCAGGTTAGGTTCCGGGCTACTGATGTAAAGTGAAAATCCCTGTGAAGTGAGACATACCTTTTCTTTTACTTTCAGAGGTATATAAAAGTCTGATGTTGACATTATAAGTGAGCAATAGAACTAGGCCTAAAAAATGCATTTACAGCTCACACATTACTTACCCTAAAATATTTTCATTCTTAGCTTATAGTGAGTAGTAAATATATTTATTGTAGGAAGTCTGAATAAATGAAGAATGAATATTATTCAAATCCGCCGCATTAACAAAATGACAGAGCGAAGCGCTGTAAGTTATTATTATAATCAAAAAGAAGCGCTAAACCACAAGGGCTATACAGCAAAGCGCTGTAAAGCGGGGCCTGTCTTTATTTAATTAAAAGATGTATGTCACTAAGACTGTATTGTTCTTCTACTAATACTATAGTTTTTAGATTTATTTGTAAAGCAAAAAAACGACTATAGGAACAACTACTATTGCAGGTGATAGTCTAATAGTATAAAAAAATACAAGAACACTGATAGTTAGTATACTAAGAGAATTATATTAGGTCAAGGAGCCACAACTATCCCATATGATTTACAAACACATTACCATGTACACCATCCTGGTGATGCTACCATGGTCCACACACCAGTACTCGTGTTTACCATGTACACCATCCTGGTGATGCTACCATGGTCCGCACACCAGTACTCGTGTTTACCATGTACACCATCCTGGTGATGCTACCATGGTCCGCACACCAGTACTCGTGTTTACCATGTACACCATCCTGGTGATGCTACCATGGTCCACACACCAGTACACGTGTTTACCATGTACACCATCCTGGTGATGCTACCATGGTCCACACACCAGTACTCGTGTTTACCATGTACACCATCCTGGTGATGCTACCATGGTCCACACACCAGTACACGTGTTTACCATGTAACACCATCCTGGTGATGCTACCATGGTCCACACACCAGTACTCGTGTTTACCATGTACACCATCCTGGTGATGCTACCATGGTCCACACACCAGTACTCGTGTTTACCATGTACACCATCCTGGTGATGCTACCATGGTCCACACACCAGTACACGTGTTTACCATATACACCATCCTGGTGATGCTACCATGATCCGCACGCCAGTACACGTGTTTACCATGCATACCATCCTGGTGATGCTACCATGCTCCAGTACACCCACTACACGTGTTTACCATGCACACCATCCTGGTGATGCTACCATGCTCCAGTACACCCACTACACGTGTTTACCATGTACACCATCCTGGTGATGCTACCATGCTCCAGTACACCCACTACACGTGTTTACCATGTACACCATCCTGGTAATGCTACCATGGTCCGCACATCAGTACACGTGTTTACCATGTACACCATCCTGGTGATGCTACCATGCTCCAGTACACCCACTACACGTGTTTACCATGTACACCATCCTGGTGATGCTACCATGGTCCGCACATCAGTACACGTGTTTACCATGTACACCATCCTGGTGATGCTACCATGATCCGCACACCAGTACACGTGTTTACCATGCGCACCATCCTGGTGATGCTACCATGCTCCAGTACACCCACTACACGTGTTTACCATGCATATCATCTCACACAGAGGGATGATTCAAGCCACCGATCTTGAACTCTATTTATTGGGTGTTGAATTTAGCATCGGGTTGGGTGTCAGGTGGCCACCACGGGGGCTGGGTGTCAAGTTGCCACTACGGGGAGGCTGGGTGTCGGATGGCTACTACGGGGGGGGCTGGGTGTCGGATGGCCACTACGGGGGGGCTTGGTGTCAGGTGGCCACCACGGGGGACCGAAACGTCATCATAAGGGTGTCTGTATGTGCGGGTTACTGGTGTAAGGTGTATGATCAAGCATCAGCACTAAGGGGAAGGTGTGAGTGAGTCTTACGTGTGTTGTGCACTCCACGTGTGTTGTGCACTCCACGTGTGTTGTGCATTCCACGTGTGTTGTGCACTCCACGTGTGTTGTGCACTCCACGTGTGTTGTGCATTCCACGTGTGTTGTGCACTCCACGTGTGTTGTGCACTCCACGTGTGTTGTGCACTCCACGTGTGTTGTGCACTCCACGTGTGTTGTGCACTCCACGTGTGTTGTGCACTCCACGTGTGTTGTGCACTCCACGTGTGCTGTGCACTCCACGTGTGCTGTGCACTCCACGTGTGTTGTGCACTCCACGTGTGTTGTGCACTCCACGTGTGTTGTGCACTCCACGTGTGTTGTGCACTCCACGTGTGTTGTGCACTCCACGTGTGCTGTGCACATCCACGTGTGCTGTGCACTCCACGTGTGTTGTGCACTCCACGTGTGTTGTGCACTCCAGTGTGTTGTGCACTCCACGTGTGTTGTGCACTCCACGTGTGTTGTGCACTCCACGTGTGTTGTGCACTCCACGTGTGTTGTGCACTCCACGTGTGTTGTGCACTCCACGTGTGTTGTGCACTTCACGTGTGTTGTGCACTCCACGTGTGTTGTGCACTCCACGTGTGTTGTGCACTCCACGTGTGTTGTGCACTCTACGTGTGTTGTGCACTCCACGTGTGTTGTGCACTCCACGTGTTGTGCACTCCACGTGTGTTGTGCACTCCACGTGTGTTGTGCACTCCACTCTGTGTAGTATATGGAATCTCGTGTAGGAGAAAGAGACATGTATGCACAGATTATGACATTTGATAAGAAAACGTTTCGCCACAAGTGGCTGCTTGAGCCACTTGTGGCGAAAGGTTTCCTCATTAAATGTTAAACTGTGCGTGCTCGTTTCTCTCAGCAGTTTGGTACTATCACCATGCCGAGTCAACTATGTACAATCTCATGTTACGCTGACCTTCAGTACTTGTTAGTTTATCAAGGGGCCGCTAGACGCACCACTTAAGCATCAGGTATTTCCCAGGAAGACCAAAATAATACAGTGTTGAGTGAGTTGCAGCGCGATGCAACAATGAGGATCTCTTGGTGAGGTGCATCAGTACTGCCCGGGTCATGGGTTATCTTCTGTTTTGACTGCCACTCACCACTCCTTGGTAAGCAACAGTGCCTCTCTAGCTTTGAGGAGGCACTGTCTTGTGCCATCAACCTTAGGTTAATCTTTGATCTTTCTTTATGAAGCCTTCAAACAGCTTCTGCACAACCCGGGTAAGACGTTTTTTTTTTGTGCGTTTTTGACCCAACACGTTTAATGGCCATTTATTTCTTTGTTGTCAATATCACTCTTATCGAGATTTTGTATAGGGCGGATTTTTACGTAAAGTTTTGCATATTTTACGTAGCTTTGTACGTCTGTTTTCGTAGTCAAGGATAATTGAAAACTTATTTTGTAGTGAGATCCTAAAGTTCAATGTTGTTCTTAAAGAACAATGTTGTTCTTGGATCTCAAAGTTCTCTTCCGTGTAGAACTTTATCAAATAGTTACCTTTACTTAATAAAGTTATTTACTAAGATGTAAGTTTAATATTTTTATTTTTATTACGAACTTGGGATTTTTCTTCCATATATTTTCGTTATATTCTCTTTTTTATTCATTTGACGATAGACATTCAGTGTTGTATGACCCATGCGGGTTAACGCTCACTTGTGTTAATGTTATTATATTCATAAAATAATAATAATAATAATAATGTAATAATAAAATATAATTATACAAAATAAAATAATAATGAAATTAATAAAAATAGTAACAATAATAATAATAATAAATAATAATAATAATAATAATAATAATAATAATAATAATAATAATAATGATAATAGGTAATCATTCCCAATGGTTATAATCATAACCATTGTTTTTAAAGGGGTGGAGTAGTAAGCCAGTGGAAGGCCTCGGTCAGATGACCAAAAGCTCCAGCTGTGGATCATCATATGACTAAGACCTGCGTCAGGAAACACTTGTCCTGTTTCCTGACGAACATTATACCTACCATAATAATAATCTTAATAATAATATTCCTCACCTCTGAGTTCCTTGCCAAATTTTTACGACTCAGCATCACTGGCAGATGTATATATGGATTTCTTAACACGTTATCTCGTTGGTCCTTGTCCAGACGACTTCCTACTTAACTGCTGACAGCCTGAGGTGCCGTGGGTCCATCCCGGCCCTCCCTTATAACACAGTGTCCCGCTGAGTGCTGACAGTGAGGGGAGAGTGAGAGTGTCAGGGGCAGGTCCCCAGAGAGTGCTCAAGGAGGGGTAACAGCATTCCTGCATTATAGCTGCGTGCGTGAGAGGAAGTGTGTTTGTGTGTGCGCAAGGCGGTGTGTATGTGTAGACTGCTGGTGCATGGACACCAGTGGATATATTAGGAGAGAGAGAGAGAGAGAGAGAGAGAGAGAGAGAGCTCTTAGATTGTTAATAAAGGTAGGAACTCTTAGCATGGCCTTGGATGCACTGGAAGAAAATCAGAATGCAGATGTAATATACACAGACTTTGCAAAAGCATTTGACAAATGCGATCATGGCGTAATAGCCCATAAAATACGTTCTAAAGGAATAACTGAGAAAGTGGGGAGATGGATCTTCAACTTCCTAACAAATCGAACACAAAGAGTAGTGGTCAACAGAGTTAAATCGGAGGCTGCCATAGTGAAGAGCTCTGTTCCACAAGGCACAGTACTCGCCCCCATCTTATTCCTTATCCTCATATCAGACATAAACAGAGATATACACCACAGCACCGTATCATCCTTTGCGGATGATACTAG